TCTGCCTTCTCCCATCCCTGTTCACCCTGGTGTTCTGTCTGGGCAAGGACCCTGGATTCTAAGAAGGCACAGAGTAGCCTTGAAACCCTGGCTCATGAGGCTGTCCAACGTGCTGAAACGATGCTGTTTCCACTGGAAGACTAGCTCCCACTGGAATGACTAGCTCCCACACCACTGTTTCCAATGGGCAGGGAATTTCATTCCCATTTTATAGTTGAGAAATAGAAGCCCAGAAAGTTAGCAGAGCTAAAGCTACAAACTCATTTCTTGTTTTCTGGTCCAGGGCTCTTTGCCCCCACTGGGCAGCCACAGTGCAATTTACCAATGCATACCCCAAGAGATTCTATCACTGCTGCCAAGCGAACATGTAAAATGCCCAGGCTCTCTTCCCACCCCCATCTCTATCTCCATTTCCCCAAATGTTGAGAGGCTTGTCCACTCCCACAGTGCCTCCTGAGACCGACCATTCAGGGTGACCCACAGGTGCTTGGGTGGACCTGCCTAGAACAGCAGTTGTGCACGTTCATGGCTCTGATCCATCGGGTATCCCTGGGTACAGCTCATCCCAACACCCTCCTACTAGTATGCTGGGCATGGGGGAAGCAACGTTCCCCCACTACTCTCATAGCTTACCAGTAATTGCTACCACTTCACCAAGTGTCTGTCGTCTTTCAGGCACCGGCTTTGAACTTTTCATATAACGTTCCTAATTCTCACAAGGAAAGTCTTGTTTTAACAGATGAGGAAATTCAATGTTAGGCAGGATAAGTGGCTTGCCAGTAGTCAGTGTGGGGATTGGAGAGCTAGGATTTGAACTTAGATTTGTCTGGTTCCATGGTGACCCTTCAATGAAAGCTCATCAACTAACATGAGAGTTCAGTGTCTCCCACCACTGCTGACTTTGTGATCCCAGGCAAGTCGCTAATCCTGTTTGAACTCCAGCTTGTCGTTTGCAAATGGAGGAAAGTGAAAGTGCATCTCCACAGGGTCCTTGTGAGGCATAAGTCAGATGAAGCATGCAGCTAGGATTCTGTGAGTGTTCGCTGCTAGTGTGAATGTGAGTACTACTGGAACACAGGTTCCTGGATGACTGGATGGGGGTCTGATTAGTCCTTCCACATCCCCACCTGCCCCCTAAGTCCTAGCAGAGGAAATATCCAGTGTCCTAGGAAGGAAGTAGAAGTGTGTGAAGGCCAGTCCACAGCCCCAAGCAGGGCCTGCTTCTGCCTCATGTCCCTGTGCTCTCAGGGGTGGGGACCACCTGGCTAGGGCAGGCATGTCACTGAGCTCACATGTGTGGTTCTGCACTACTTCATCAGCACTCCTCATGTTTATGTTGAGCCCGAGATCAGTCTCAGCCCCCAGAGTCTGCTTTCATAAAGCTGTCCCAATATCCTCCCTAAAGACCCTGGGCAGGGAGAGCTGGGGTGAGAGGGGACAGCTAAGGATGCGGTTTCACATCCACTGTCATGGGGGCTACTCACATCCAATAGCAGGCAAAACTGGTTTACTCCTCCCATCGTTCAGATAGGGAAATGGAGGCCCAGCAAGGTGAAGTGACATGTCCAAGATTACTGAGCCTAGAATGAAGGTTTCCAAACACCCAGAAAAGGGCTCCTTTAATTAGTCCTTAACTGATTACTCATCCTAAAATCATTCAAGGATAAAGGCAGTGAACATACATTCACAAACCAAGCAACCAACAAAGCCATTGCTAATTATTACTGACTGCGGGACGTCGTGAGGCGAGTCTCTGCTGAGTCTGCTCTGCTGATTGCCCCTACTTTGACCAGAACTGGCTAATTGTGGGAAGTTGCATTCACTCAGAAGCTGGGGTGAGGGCAAGAGGAACGGCTTCCCCCTCAGGGCTTGATGAAGGCAGGAGTGAGTCATGCTGGTTGAGAACAATGAACGGTTCTGTAATCACCTCCTACAGCCCCTGCCCAATATCCAACAGAGCCCCAGAGGAGCCTTTCCAGGAATAATGAGGCTGGGTCAGGGGAGATGGATGAGAATTCGCTGGGTCTCACCAGGGCAGCTTGACTCACAATCTGTCTTAGCCCTAAGCCCCAGGCAGGGAGACTCCACAGTGAGATGACTCTGGCATGCACCTGTGCCCCAAAGTTCAAGGAGAGGAAGTCATTTGCATCTCAGGTACAAGGAGGAGAGGCAATGGCCTGGCCTCCAGACTGTTGGAGCACTGGGGACAATGAGCAAACAGATGCCAGTCTCCTAGGCCTTTCTGGGGCCCCGATTTTCCCTTGTTCTGAGGAGCAGTGAGTAGGCAGGCAACTGGGGATAAAGAAGGGGGAACAGAGAGGCAAGACCCCCAGCAGACACATAGACAATGCGTATGACCAGACCGTACAACCCTCAGTGAACTTCCCACTCCTATGTATGCACATACTTTCTTGCTCCTACTTTTCCCCAGAACAGTGTTTCCTGACTTGATCCATGGAGTCCATACAGTAGACCATCTTAGAAGTTAATAGGTTCTTCTCTCTCCCTGTATACTCCCCATCCACAGATGCCCAAAGTCCTAGAGCTATGCTAGAAGCCAAGCTGGGACACGGGTCACCCATGAGCAGTCTGGTGCAGTCACCTTCAGTCACCTGACCACTTGGCTATGTGAGATTTTTAATCCCAAACAATTATTCTCTCCTACCCAAATTCAAAACCCAGGGCACCTCCATTTTACTGTGGAAATTACAGCAAAAAATTTACAGTAACAAAGGTAAGTTAAAGAGAAAACCAGACTTCCTTCTCTTTCAAAGATGCTGAAGAGTTCATTTTCACCCAGTGTTATCTGCACTGGGGAAGAAGAAGGGAGATCTTCACTTTTCTTTTTTCTTTTCTTTTTTTTTAATCTTAGTAATGTGTTTTTACTTAAACAAATATATTTAGGCCTGAAGTAGTGGCTCATGCCCGTAATCTCAGCGCTTTGGGAAGCCAAGGTAGGCAGATCACTTGAGGCCAGGAGTTCAAGATCAGCATGGCCAACATGGCAAAACCCCGTCTCTACTAAAAATACAAAAATTAGCTAGGCGTGGTGGCACATGCCTGTAATCCCAGTTGCTCAGGAGGCTGAGACACGAGAATTGCTTGAACAGGAGGCAGAGTTTGCAGTGAGCCAAGATTGTGCCACTGCACTCCACTCTGTGCGACAAAGTGAGACTCTTTCTTTAAAAAAAAAAAAAAAAAGAAGAAAATATATATATACACACACACTTTAAATATATATTTATATATATATAAATGTGTATATATATATATAACATGTAATCAATATAACAAAATTATCGAGATATTTTATATTCACCTTTTCATACTAAGCCTTGGAAATCCAATGTGTATTTTCCACTTCACATCTCAATTTAGAACTAGCCACATTTCAATTTGAACAGTGTTTTGTTCTGGGCCTTGCTCTGCAGACCAAGGCAACCTGGCTTTAAAAGCCATTGTCACCAAGCAAACCCTCATTTGATCTACAAGAATTCTTTGTGGATCAGTGGATCTCCATCTTAGCAGCACATTGGCCTCAGCCAGACCACGCCTAGACCAAATACATCAGAATCTCTGGGAGTGGGTCCCAGGCATTGATGTTTATAAAGCTTTCCTAGAGATTTCAGTGTGCAGCCCAAGTTGAGACCCATGGCTACATATCAGCATCCTACTCAAAGTGAGGACCACTGACCAGCATTATTGGTATCACCTGGGAGCTTGTTAGAAATGCAGAACCTCAGGCCCCATCCCGGACCTACTGAATCAGAACCTGCAAGTGAACAAGGACCATATGTGCTTAGAACATTTACTACTGTCTGAGAGGCCTGCTAGAATGCACACTCTCTATATCCCATCTTGACACCTGATAGCAACCTTGCAAGGCAGGTGTTCTATTTCACAGGTGAGGAAACAGAACAGAAGAGAGGTTGAGTCACTCATCCAAGGTCACATAATTGGTGAGTAGGAGAGCCAGGGTGCAACCCAGGTCTGGTTCCAAAGGCCACACTCTTTCAACTGCACAATTGTACCGCTTCCTACAGCACAATTAAATATATGGCCACAGAGAACCCCTGAGTGTTTGACTCCTTGAGCCTGCTGAACATGCCCTGCCTTTGAACAGGATTCCACTTCCAATGTCAAGTTCCCCAAAACAAACCTCATAAAGACCAGCATAATTCATGAGAAGATACAAATTGTAAACAAACATAGGGAAGATGTTCACTCTCCCTCATAATCAGAGAAATGCAAATTAGAACAACATTGAGGAACCATTTTCTACCTATATAATTAGCAAAAATTAATAAAATTTTAGCAAAGTTATTCTGAAATAGGTACATTCATACACAATTTGTGGCGGTGTAGATTTATAGAACCCTTGAGAGAAGTCATATGGCAACATCCATCAAGAGCTGTAAATATATTATGCCCACTGACCCTGGGAATTCACCCTAAGGAAATAATTCATTGGGGGTGGGCGGGGGAAATGCTGTTTGTATGAAGATGCTCACTGCAACATTCGCTGTGAACACTGGAAACAACTTAATATTCAGCAGTAAGAAAATGGCTGAGGAAACTGGGGGTATATCTACTCCTGCAGTGTTATGCAGCCATTTAAAACCATAATTAAGAAGCCCAAGCAGCAACATAGCAATGTGGGTGAAAGAAAGCAGAATGCAAAACTGTCTCTGTGCATTGTGGTTTTTCTGATGTAAAAATATTGTGTGCATAAGGATATGGACAGGGAGGAGCTGGGCACAAAGGAAGGCAACCTTCAGAGTTGGGGGTGATGGAAAGACCCCCTCCTCCTATTATTTTTAGTATTACAAACCTTGGCCCTTTGAGAACAGCCTCAGGGGCTCTCCCCTCATGGAGTCTATCTCTGAGGCGGACACAAGGAGGCAGCTGGGTGCAAAGCCACATTCCTGATTGCACCAGCAGGTGAGGGGAGCTGGCCCAGTGGGGGTCAGGAAGGCCACGGGAGGCCCCTCCCATCTTACCATGAAGCCCGGGGCACAAGTGCAGCCCCCAGTGATGCTGTGGCAGTCGGCACCATTCTGACAGGTGCAAGTCTGCTGGCAGCCATCGCCATAGTAGCCAGCAGGGCAGGATTCATTGCAGTGGCGGCCAGACCAGCCTGGCTGGCAGGCACAAGCTCCGGTTACTGGGTGGCAGCTGCACAGATAAGAGAAGGGTGAGGAGACAGTTCGTTCTAGGAAGCAGCCTTGTGCCCGCCCTCTGCCCACCCCAAGCCTGGCTTGCCCAGGGTAGCAGGATCAAAGGACCTCTGGGATTAAAATGCTCAATGCCTTTTCTGTTTATCAGAGGATGCCAAGGCCACATGATCTTATTACCACCCAGAAGCTGAGGCTCAGGATGATTATATAACTACCCTGAAGTCAACAGCAAGGAGAAGACAAGAGCAGGATTAGAACACAGGGCTTCTGACTCCCACACAAGTCTTCTTTATAATTCAGACACACGGAAACCAAAAGAGAGAGTGGCCTTTTAGTCCCTTGGCTTATAGACTATGCGGTCCAAGGCTTCATCCATCCCTCACACAAGACGAGTGCCTGGTGTGGGAACAGGACAAGAAGGAAGCAGTGATATGCCAGTGGCTCTCAATATTGTAGGTGTTCAATGAATGTTGGGCTGAGTGAAAACAAGACTTTGGGCCAGACGTGACTCCTCTCTCTGGCAATGTCTGTCCTGGACAGAGCAACCCCAACCTATGCTTTGCCAGGCTCTTTAACAGTGAGCAAGCTCTTCTCCATCTCCTGTTTAGGCTAGAGAAAGGACCATTCGGCTAGAGGCAGGGGATCCCTGGCATGACCTCCAGAGAGTCGGGCAACCTCTAGCTGGCAGCCATCTGATCCAACAGCTGATGTCCATTCATGGTCAGCGGGATGCCGGTTGTAACCATGTGCTGCTCAGAACTCCTGCAGGAGCATAATTGACCTATGGCCCCAGTGCTGAGTCTGAAATCCAGAGGCCACATTTCCCCCAGGCCACTTCCAGCTGGAGCACAGCAGGGACACTAGGGTGGGCATACTCTTGGGAGATCTGGGACTCCTCTGATGGGTACCTTGGCTTTAAGATGCCCCATCCTGGCAAACTTTCTTAGAACCATGCTGTGAGTTAAGACTCTTTCTCCCAACTTTCCTTCCTTCTTCCTTCCTTCCTCACATGTGATCTGTCAGCTCTCCCAGCCTCCCCAGCTCCCTCCCCACTTTCCCTCACAGATGCTTCCCCTAGTAAACCTCTTGCTCTTGGTATCTGCTTCTGGAGGGGCTCAGACTAACACACCAAAGAAGTGCTGGGTGGTAGAGATGAGCCTTTTAGATTCCTTGTGGCATTTGCCTCCCTGCTCTGGAGCCCAGCTCCGGGGATAAGGTCAAGAGAAGCATGCCCTGGGCTGGCAGGGGGAACCTGGGGCAAGTCTTGGTTCTGCTAACTTCCATGGGGCCTTGGCGTCTTGCCCCGCTGGACCATTGATGGATCCCCAACACCTGGCTCATATTCACTGCCCTGGTGAATATCTGGAAATGAATACAGCTTCCTCTAAATACAATTATCTTCCATTGATTCTTTCTTCGTTTCTGCTGATTTATCATCTGTCTTTTCCACTAGGTTGCAGCTCTATGGGGGACAGCCGTTTGTCTTGTTCCCTTCTCAGGGCCCAGCAGAGTCCCTGGCACACTGGAGGTGCTTAATATATATTTAGAAAATTAATTAATGAGCAAACTAATTGTGTGAAGCCTAGCCAAGCTGTTTCTCTTCTAGGGACCCTGGTTTTCTCACAGAAAATGAGGGGGTGGACAGGAACAGGCAATTCTTGAATAATAAGTGCAAGTAGCTAGTAATCATTTCAGAAAAGTATTTAGTCTCATTATTCATCAAGTCTAAACAACAACTGGACACCACTTTTCCTCCATCAAAACAGTGACTATGCTTTAAAATGCTGGTAAAGGTTTCAAAACAATCTGAGGTTACATATCAGAAGACTTAAAAGTATTCAGACTCTGGTCTTGTAATTCCATTTCTAAGACTCTATCCTAAGGAAATAATCATAGTTGTGGAGAAAGATTTATGCACGGAGATGTTCCCTGAAGCATTATTTATAACAGTAGAAAATGGAAGCAATTTAAATAATAATAAATAATATGTGACCAGGCTATTGAGGCACCAGGGACTTTATACATATATTTCTAATCTTCAAATAAACCTGTGAATTAGGCAGTTGAGCCTGTATTTCACAGATGGCATTTAGAGGTTATGTGACTTGCCCAAGGTCACATAGCTAAGACAGTGAGTGGCAGAGCTGGGATTCAAACCCAGGTCTGTCTGGCCACATTTTGTCCACTGCCTCATGCCACCTCTCACCACAGGGTATTGGTTAAATGAATTATAACATCCATGTGAAGGAATGCTAAGAGATGTATTCAATTGTTTTTCAAAATGTTTAATGATACAAGGTTAAGTGAAATAAGCACTTTGTATACAAAGCCATTTCTATCAATGCTGCATCTGTTACCTAAATTAAATCTTTCAACTATGACAATATATCAAATCTAAAATATGAAAATGATACAGACATCGATAGATGACCACAAAATGGCTTTTGTGCTTATCTCTGGATTGAGAAACTGATTCTAAGTTTTTTCTTTAAATGTCTACGTATTCCCTAACTTACCAAAATTGAGCATTTATTCTATTTATAAACAGATGTAAAGCAATAAAAATTATAAGTATCTAACAAAGAGGAATGGGTGTAAATGATGAGTGTTCGAAGACTTTCTGACCTTTACAGAGAAAAATTCCTCCCTGAGCCCCAAGGCACTGGAAGGGGAGACAGCAGCCTGCATGGGTACCGTGGGGAAGTTGTGCTCCTTGGTGGCCCTGCTGCTCTGCAGATGGTTTTGGAGCACTCTTCTCTTTAGGTTGCATCTTTCCAAGAGCTTCCCTTGAGGTTTAGGGTTAGTGTAGAGAGACTGGCTCAGTTACGGTTGTGGAGACTGACGTGCTTGAATCTAGGAATGGCCTGGCAGGTCTTGGCTGCAGCCATCAGCTCTGCTGAGCACTGGAGACTCTGAAAGGTCTCAGGCACCTTTCTGCTTTTTCCATCAATAGATCCTTCTGCTGTCTCTGCCTAGCAAATGGTCACCTGGATGGAGTTCACCCATTACACGCTCTTACTTTGGTGAGGGCACCACCTTGTGAAAAGCACACTCCACGCCCATCGAGCTAGCAAATGCTGACCTAAGTACTCTGCATTTCCTGCTTTTGATCTCTGCTGCTGTCACTTTGGCTGCTCAGAGATACATTAGGCACTAATTTTACTCTACTCTGAGAACCAGAAGGCTCAAAACCAAATCTAAAATCATTCCTTTTTTTTCATATCCCTACAATATCCCATTTCTAGAAATGGGATATCTACTTTCTTAATTTGATTACTCGTCTTATAGGAACTCCAAACATCCCTTTGAAAAGAGGATGGAGAGTGACAGCTGACTGATCATGACGGAGAGCTGCGACCACCATGCTTGGAACCTCTGTCCCTCAGCAGAGTGACTTGCACAGCCCCTCTCCCAGGCATCCCTTCTTCCCGGTGGTGGTCCCCATTCTCTTGAGTCACATGGCAGTCCAGGGGCTGCTGCTTTTGGCTCAGGCAGAAGTTACAGTCACTGGTGTTTAGCCTGGTTCCATTCTCTCTGGTTTTTTCTTTTCTCCCATTTCCCCCAGACATAGATTAATCACAAGTTAATAGGAACCGAAAGCTGAACAATACAGGAATCCTTCCAGAGTGGATTTTTCTGCCTTTCTTTCAGCTGCTATGAGATTTCTATCAATGCTGCATCTGTTGGCTGAATCAAATCTTTCAAAGGCAATACACGATCATGGCTGCTGGAATTAGTCTATGACAATCCAATTGTGGAGGAGACATTTAAGAGCCCATACACACAGGTGCTTTCTTTCTCAAGGTTATTCCTGTATGAAGGAGGATGGTTTCTTTTTGTGTGCTACAAAGAGTTGATAACGGGAATGAAGAGTTGGAGAATCTTACCAGCCACTTCTTCCTTCCCAGGGCATGGATTCAACCTCTGTGCAGCAGCCTTGCTGGAAGGGCATAGACCAGAGAGAGGCTGGAGCTGGGTGGATAGTGCTTTCTTTGGCTGGGGGCTGGGATTACTTTGTCTCCCTAGGAAAGATGCTCAAGACCTTGCACGCTGTTGTGGTGGGGGCTTTGTTGTAAGTTCTGCAGAAGGCAGGGAGCACTGAGGCTAGGCTTCTAGGGATCCCACGTTCCTTCTCTCAGGGAGTTGGGTGGAAGCTTCACTTTCAAAGACCACAGGAGAACATTTCCCCCCACTGGGTTGATGAAAGGTGATGGACAGATTGGGAAATTTATGCATAGAGAGGAGAAGGACATGTATCTTATGTACATATATCAAGTGCCCTTATTATGGACACTTGCTTAGACAGAGGTAGGTTTGAGAGCAGGACTCAGAAGTCCCAATCCCCACTCAGTACCTGAACTTTAACTGTCTTAAGATTAGAAGTCACACAGTCATTCCTTGGCTTTTCTTGAATCTCAAGAGAAGACTCTATAATGGGCCAAAAAAGCCTCATGGGAAGAGAGGGGCTTCCCTCTATCCACATAGAGGAAGAGAGCTGTTTTCTGATGTCCGTAAGAACAATCAAGTGCAGCATGAGAGAGTTCATTTAGCCCAGAGGCTCTCAACCTCCGGGAATTTTTCCTGCCCCGCCCCACCCTGAGACATCCGGCAATGTCTGGAAACATTTCTGATTGTCAGAACTCGGGCAGTGGAAGAAGGGTGCTACTGGCATCTAGTGGGTAGAGGCCAGGGATGCTGCTCAACATTCTACAAAGCACAGGACAGCCCTCTACAACAAAGAATTCCCCAGCCCAAAATGTTCATGGTGGCAGGGTTGAGAAACCCTAACCTCAACTGAACAAAAACTTTGTGCCAGGGGCTCAGTGGGCCAGTGTACCAAGAGAAAGGGGGAAATATGTTTTTTTGAAAAAATGGGGTTGACTTCAGCTAATGGGTAGAACCTCCTAGAGGGATGGGCTGTTTAAGATGAGTTCAGGGACTCCTCTTACTGAAGGCCTACTCTGTGCAGGCACTGTGCAGTGCTGAGGCTAGAGGCCACAGGAATGGACAAGCCAGGCTGCTGGTGCCCTCAGGGAGCCCACCTCCTCAAGGAGATGGTGATGCAGACTCAGAGGACACCAGGCTGGGGAGTCGACTGGTGGGCACACTCAGAGCCCCCACTCTGAAGAACCGCTACTCCCTCCCAGTCCCTGACACATGATACGTTTTAAAGACAGTAAAGCAAATAATCATCAATATTGGATGGGCTGAGATTAGTGGGAGAGAAGAGGGAGTCCTGTCTGATTAATAATGCATCAAGGACTCCTTCAGAGGAAGGATGAATTATACAGGGCATAGTTGCCCAGGCACAGGAGGAAAACACTAGCCCTTTAATTTGGGGCTTGGTTAGATTTCTGTGGCAGGAGCTCCCTGCATTTGACCCCAGCATCAGCCTTGCTTCCTGTCTTGGAGAGGGTCCTCCCTCAGCTTCCCAACAGCGACAGATCCTGGAATATTAATATTTAGACACATGGAACAGTCTGAGCCAGCTGCCCCAGTCTCCTGACCAGCCATGTGGGACTTCTGTAATTAGCACCTTGGAGCTCTCGCTCTGCTCTCCAAACCCAGCCCAGATGCCACCTCCTCTAGGAAGCCTTCCCTGACCAGCATCACATAGTCCTGGGTCACAGTTACTTGGGCACATGTTGGAACCTAGCAGGGCCAGCCACATATATTTCACCAATTCTAAGATGTACTTCTCCTCTACATTTTCACATCTCTGATATTGGGTATGTTATACAATCAATGGTGTGTCATGGTTCAGTTGATAGAATTTTCCTAGTAGTAACCCAAATAAAGCTGTGCCTCACTACTGTTATTGTCTTGTATTTGAAGAAATATGGTAGAAGGTGCTTAGTGTTACCTCCTCACAGCCCAGCCCTGCAGGCGCTCAGTGTTTGCTGAATGAATGACCCAGTGAATGAATGCTCAGGTCGTGGACAGTCCAACTCCACTGGCTCTAGCACCCTCTCTGGACAATCTCCTTCCTGGGCGCTCCACCTTTGCCTCATACCACCCCAGCTGCTCCACTCTAGGGAGGGAGGACTTTTCATTTGACTCATAGCCCTTGCTGAGATGCCTCTGCTTGCAATGAACGAAGCTCCAGAGTGGTTTGTGAAAGATCAAAGCCTGGAAGCGAAGAGCAGCCAAGGCTAAGTCCTGGCTGTCCCAGGGACAGGGCTGCAAAGCAGAGGGATTCTCTGTCTGCCCTGCAAACAGCAGCAGCACCCATGCCCAGGGTGGCTGGTCTTCCCTGGGCTGTCTGTAGGCCTGAGGGAGAAGGGATGCTCCCCTGACCTTCATCACCCAGATAAGAGGCAGCCACAATAAAGGGCTGTGGGAGCATTTATCTGGGGCTGGCAGCCTCAATTTTTACCCAGGGGCAGTGCCTACTGGTGCATGAAGCAGGCAGGGAAGGGAGCTGGGAGTAGTAGCCCAGAGCAGCTCTGGCTTCACAGGTTCAGACTCCTTTGGAAGTGGGGGATGGAGGGGGGGCAAATTCTGCCCAGATGTCCCCAAGCCACAAAGGACACAGAGTGCTGAGGGAGGGGCTGGCCTCAAGTCCAGGCCCTGATAAAGGGCTGCCCCTGTTGTTCCTGCTTCTCTACCTTTGCCAGGGCCTGTTGGGACAACCCTCTCTAGGCCCTGGGATGGCCCTACTGATTTTTAAGGTCCTTTTTAGTCCTGACCTTCTGCAGCTCAAGCCTCTACTTCTGCCTTAGTGGCCCTGGCTCTGGTTGGATGCCACACAAGTGGAGGGGAAATATTCTCCAGGACAATGTGCTCAGAGCTTGCGGCACCCGAGCCCTGCCATCCCAGCCCCCAGGGTCATGCAGCTGTGCTCCACCCCACCTCCTTGCTCCCTCCTTGCTCCCATGTGTGGAGTCTCAGACAGGCACATTTGGAAATGCAGGCGGCCAGGTGTGGTGGACAGAGTTGAGTGACCTGGCTCTAGTCCTGACTGTGGCTATGTGGCCTTGGCTTCCCCTTCTTTTCATCAAAGTAGTTCTCAGGGCTCAGTGCTAAGGTCCTAGCCCTTTCCCCGCCCTGCCTGGATGTCCGTGCCAGAGGTGGGGGGGCCACATCCTAGCAAGCTTCCTTTCTACCTGAGCACCCCCCGCCCTTGTCCCGAGCTCGCCGGTTCCCAGCTCATACCTGATGGTGTTGTCAGCATCACAGGGGCAGGGCAGGGTGCAGCCTGGGCCATGAAGGCCCTCTGGGCACAGTCGCTCCTGGCAGCGCGGGCCCTTGTAGCCAGGCTCACACTCGCAGGCACCCGTGGTGGGTGAACACTGCCCACCATTGTAGCAGTCACAGCGCTGTGAGCACTGGAAGCCGAAGGTCCCGAAGGGGCACTCCTCTTGGCACCTGTGGGAGAGCAGAGTGTGGCTGAGGCTGTGGGCCGGGATCCCTCACCTGTGCTTCGAGATCCTCCAGGATGTGGTCCTCCTGGTCACCTGGCCCAGGCCTGGTGTGCTCCATCCTGCTCACAGCCTCCTCCCCTTTTCTCTCTCCTCCTCCAGGAAGTATTCCATGGTTTAGTTCACCCCAGTCATTTCTGCCTTTCACGCCAGGTCTCCTCAGTGACCCCAGCAATGAGTTTGTATTACCGTATTTTATTGATTCCAAGACTAATATATATTTTTTTTAATTAAAGTTGTGGTGAACTATACATGTTATGGTTTAAATGCTTCTCTCAAAATTCTCATTGAAACTTAACACCCAATGCCAAGGTATGAGGAGGTGTGGCCTTTGGCCTTTGGGAGGTGATTAGGGCATGAATGGATTAGCGCTCTTATAAAAGGGCTACAGGGAGCCACTGAGGTCCCTTTTTTTTTTTTTTTTTTTGGCTCTTCTATTCCTTTCACCCTCTGAGGATACAGGCTTCAAGGCACCATTTTGGAAGCAGAGATTGGGGCCCTCATCAGACACCAAACCTGCTGGCCCCTTGATCTTGAACTTCTCAGCCTCCACTGTGAGAATCAATGTCTGTTGTTTATAAATTACTCAGTCTTGGGTATTTTGTTATAGTGGCATGAGCAGACTAAGACAGTGCACAGCATAGAATTGACGATTTTAACTACGTACAGTTCAGTGGCATTAAGCACATTCGCACTGTTGTGCTACATCACCACCACCCATCTCCAGAACGTTTCCATCTTCCCAAACTGAAACTCCGCACCCGTTAAACAAAAAACCATTTAGGTAGGTTTAAAAACACCTTGTTTTTTTTGTTTGTTTGTTTGAGACAGAGTCTCACTCTGTCGCCCAGGCTGGAATGGCACGATCTCGCTGCAACCTCTGCCTCCCAGGTTCAAGTGATTCTCCTGCCTCAGCCTCCCGAGTAGCTGGGACTACAGGTGTGCACCGCCACGCCCAGCTAATTTTTGTATTATTAGTAGAGACAGGGTTTCACCACGTTGGCCAAGATGGTCTCAATCTCTTGACCTCATGATCTGCCTGCCTCGGCCTCCCCAAGTGCTGGGATTACAGGCACGAGCCACCTTGTTTTTCAAATATATTTTTATATCTCTGAAATTAATCAGATAAGTCTTATGTCTGATGATATCATCATAGTTTAATTGCCAGTGTTTTTCCTTCTTTGCAGTGTATGAAATAATGATGCATCTCACAATCAGTGGCACCTTAGATCTGATGAAATGGGGTGATTTTGTTTCTATACAGTGTCTCTGGTTTGTGAGCCTTTTGGGCAGATGTAGAGTCTCTCTTGTCCTACTGGGAGACATGTCCCCTCCCTGACTCTGGATTTTCCCTCGAGTACAGGAAGCATCCTCCTTCATGGGACTATAGAATGCCCTGTGACAAGGGCTATTTTCCCTTCCTTGGAAGAGCATCCCCTCAAGGTAGGGGCTGAGTCTCTCCCATCAGCCTGTGAGCCCCCAAGGAGGAAGCCTGGGACCCCCTTTGTGTCCTATGCATGTCTGGGCTAGTACTTGGAGCTGCCAACATGAGGATAATTATTCAACTTCATTTAACTCACAGCCAAGGGTGTGGCTCCTCCGTGGGTGAGTGTGACCTCCACTGCTGACCACCTGGTTTCCTGAATGTGCCTCAACACCCATTACCCCTACCCTGGGCTCTTTCCCAGGGGATGCAAATTTATTGTCACAGCAACTAGATCCGGATAAGTCAAGGGGTAAACCTGGGGGAATAAGGGGTAAAAGAGGGAGACAACTTCTTGCATCCCAAAGACAAATGGAAATGGCCTCTGGAGTTCTAGTTATCTTTGTTCCAGCACTGATTCAACAGTGCGGATAATGGAGAACTAACCTAAAGCTCTGACATCCTCTTCCTTTTTGTAAAATGGGATGATACTCACTAAATCTCATCAGGTTCTGCAAGAATTAAATGGGATAATGTGTGTAACATAGAAAGGTGCCCAGCCCATAATTGGGGCTCAATTCGAAAAGTTAGTTATTTTCATTAGTACTCATGTTAATATTGTTTTCAACAGTTCTTATAACAGAGCCCATCTGACCTTCTGGCCTTAAATTCAGGCATGAAAAAGCCCAAAGGGAAAAATTCTAAAATGTTGATAGTAGAGTAGATTTGAGGAGTCAGTGTTTTAATTATCATATATTTCAATTTTCTAGGTTTTCTATATGTCTTCTACAGTAATCAGAGGGGAAAAGCAATTTAAAAAAAAATACAGTTCTAACTTCTTTATTATATATTCTGGAGGATCATGGGAGTGGAAGTATTCTTCTATAGACAGGGCAGAGAGATTCTGTGTCTGGGTGACTCAGTTGTTTACGGTGAGGATGAGTGGCCAGACCCTCGTGGATATGGCAGGGCCAGCTAGCAAGTATGTGGCGGATGAGAGCAGCCAGTGTGTGGGGCACCAGCTTTGGCAACTTGAGATTGGGGTGTCCTTGTCTGTCTTCTGTGCTTTCGTTGCTCTGTGCCCACAATGACAAGGAGAAGAGGACAGTGACTGGGGTCTGGCCTTGAGTGCTTCCTTCCTAAGAAGATGCCGCCAGCTCTCTCCTCTCAGAGCCACTGTGTAAAGGAGTGATCTGGTAGAATAATGGGGCAGCAGGGATCATGAGGACAACACCAGCCCTGGGCACCATATACCGAGGGGTTTCCAGCTGCTCAGGCCCCAGAGCCTGTCCCCAGCCCCTGGAGCAGCAGATATTCTCATCACCCTCACTTTGGAGTTAAGGAGGCTGCCATGGGACAAGTGAGGCAATTGCTCCAAGCTCACGCAGCCTGCATGGGGCCAAGATGACCCCAGATTGTCTTTCTGCAAATCTTGTCACATGTCAGTCAATCTGAGGCCTCATGAACGGAAAGAGAGCAGAAAAAAGAGGGAAGAAGAGGCAAAAAAGGTGATGTCTGGAGAAGGAATGGAAAGTAGAAGACAGAAGGAGGAGAAGTAGAATGGGGGAAGGGAAGGAGGGAAACTGAGGCAGAAGGGAGGAAAAGAGCAGCTGAAGACCTGAATAATCATATCTGAATTGCCAGCCCCTGTTCAGCCTGCAAATGGATTTCTCCAGAAGTCTCTGTGCTTTGCTGGCCTCGAATGTCTCTCAAATGTCGGGTGAAAAAACTCAAACCAGATACCTCCTGATACCTGCTCCTTTTCAAACATTCCTGCTCCCTCCTGCCTAGCAGGACTGGACAGAGCCCTGAACCCTAAGCTCCTCAGAAGGGCAATTCCCTAGCCCACTACATTTTTTGGGTGACCGAATCTACAGCCCCAGAAAAGCAATCTGGAAATGAAATATTGACAACCTCATTCATTTACATAATCAGCCTCTTTTTTTTCCCTACTCACAATTTAAACAACTTATTTATTTAGAGATCAAGCAACGACAGCTAATGAATTTTACACAAAGCATGCTAATAACGGAGCCCGTGGAACAGAAGGGTAATCACAGCAGGAATTAGTTTTCTACTTAAACATTCTTCCTTTGCACCATATCAATCTAATGTGTCCGATATTGCCATTAACAACCAGATACATTGCTCAATTAAATTACAAAATGAGCTGCAAAGCCCTCGTTACATTTCGTGTTTAATTTGCACTGGTTTCTGCCTATCCGGGGAGGCCTGCATTATTACACCCACTCAACTTTAATATGCTTGTGATGATTTGGGTGGGTTAATGCAGCTGTCACCTACGAAATTAATGGAGGCAATTTTACAAAATATTAAACACCAGGCAGCCTGTTTAGGCGAGAAGCCCAAATGCTGCCTGGCCTCCTATTGAACTCTCCTGTGGTTGATTGACAAAGCTTGCTGGAGGGCCCCTTGGCTTTAGAGGTTTCTCTCTGCCCAGGATCATGGACCAGGCTCCAACAAGCAGAGAGATTTTGGATTATTTCTCTATTTGGCACATCTTTACAGGGAAAATCGAGAGCACCAATGAACTAGGGTCTACTCGTGTGGAGTCTAGCCGGCTAGAGTGCTGGGGCTGCTCATTTCCAACAACAAGCGAGCGGTTTGCACTCTCATGAGAAAGTGGACTGACAAAGGAGTCCTGTGCTGGCTTGAGGGTCTTCCTGGTTCCAGTCCATACTGGCTCATCCTGAGCATTTCCTTATTTGGGGAGATGATGAGGATGGGAACTGGACTCAATGTTTTAGCACCCCCTCCCACGGGTCAGGGAGGGACGGATCCCCAGATGCCACACCCCACGTTCTACGCTGGGGAAGTTCACGTTGATGAACACTGGCTCACAAAGAGATCAGATCTGGCTTAAAAGACTTCCAGCCGGAGGTAAATCAGCCCAAGGCTAATGGACAGTCTCTTTTCTGGACATCACTAAGGATTTGGGGCTGATTCTAGTGAGAGCTGGAGAAGCCCCGATTATGTCTGTTAGAAACAGAGGGATTCATTGGTTAACTCAGCCTCCCTCCTGGCTTCCTGATGTCACCCAGGCAGGGAATGATGAAAAATGTTTCCTCATTTTGTCTGAGAAGAGCATAAAATCCAGGAGCCAGAAATGAAACATGGATCCCCACAGAACCAGGCATGGGGTGTGGGGGCCACCTCTGTACAGCCCTTCTCTGCTTGAAGAGACCCATGTGGTCAAGGGTGAGAGGGAAGAGACTTGGCCCAGGTTCTGTGGGTTTCAAATATCTTTTTCCAGCTTCCAATCTACTCACCATCACACATGCTGGTTGCCGTTTCTCCCTTTTCCTCTGCACCTGCCCTGTCATCATGGCCTCCTTCTTCCAGCTGTGGCACATGTGCACATATGGCAATTTGCCAGTTCTGTGTTTTTTGATTATTCACTCTGCAAGGCTGGTTTCATTCCGGGACACTGGCACCCTCCTTCAATCTGCTCTTAAGCCGCAGGCCTTCAGAGGATGCAAACTGATGCCAGTATCCTTTTGGTGGAACCCAAATTAGGACTAAAAATCCCCTTCCAGAAGAAATCGTGCAAAATGTGTGAAATGGTTTTGCACTCTCAGCTTCCTTGGATTATCTGTGCCATTGCCTCCCTCCATGAGTTCAGAGAGTAGAGAGTGGGGGCAGGTGCTCACGTCCTTCCCCCAGGTGAGCCCATGCAAATTCATGGCTTGGGCCACTAGGCCAGAGAAGAGGGTGTCTCTGCAGGCCGAGGGTGAGGAGGGATCAGGTGCCAACTCTCTCTGGCAGGAGAGCTCAGAGTGCTTTCTGAGAAAGGAACTGGAAGGCTGGCAGAGACAGAGCTATGAGCTGTTCTCTGCAAGGCTCCTGTGAAAATGAGTAAAATGGACAGCAAAGACAACAGTTAACACTATCCTTACCTGTCCCCCATGTATCCAGCTGTACAGTGGCACTGTCCAGTCACGTGGTCACACTGCCCTCCATGGTGGCAAGGACAGTCCTGGCTGCAGTTCTGGCCAAATGTTCCTGGTGGGCAGGGCTGGGCACACACTGCTCCCTGAAACAGAGGTGGGAAGACATGTATGGTGGTGCTCCAGAGATGCCAAACTTTCCTGGGAATGGCACAGCTGCTGTGGCTCCAGGGACCACCCAACTTCCCAGAAGAAGTTCAGCCAGCTGGACACCAGGGCTCCAAAGCCCTCCTCTTAGAGATGGGAGATGGGAGACGGAGGCCAACTTGCTCATCCAGTTATTCAGCACAATTTAGAAACTGACTATTGTATACGAGGTGCTGTATTAGACACTAGGGGTGATTTGACTTGATTCCTGTCTTCCTAGTCTACTGCAGAGAGAGCCAAGAAAACAGCTAAGTACAAGGCACTAAGTACTCTCACATGGGTACACAGTAAAGCGCTGAGGAGACACAAGGAAGGAGGCTGAGTAAACATGCTGGTGTGGAGACGTGCACTTTGCTCAGCTTCTTTCCCAAACCCAACTGACATGAGAGTTAAAGGGGTACAGGTATAAACCTACAAGGAAAAGAGGAATAGGAGACAAGGGATGTCACACACTGGAAGATGGAAAAGCAGGTGGAGGAGCGATAACTGCTTTGGTTTCTGCTTCTGGGCAATGTTAAGTGCCTGCAAAGGGAGTGTCATAAGCCTGGGTGATGAAGTCCTTTGTAACCTCAAAAAGCTCAGGAATCAGAGACACTGGGATCCTCTGAAGGTGAAGGTGCAGGTAGGATCAAAACAGGACTGTTTGAAAGTTTATAAAATAGGGAATTAGACCCCCAATCTCTGCTCCCCCCACCTTGAATAGCCAGGTGAATTGTCCAAGTCTTTCAGAGAGGTTGGCGTCACAGGCTGTGGACAAGGGACACAGGCAGAGATGAAGGTGGGGGTGGACCTCTCCTGCTGCTCTCTTCCCTGCTGCGCTCCTAAAGGCTGACTGCCCGACTGAACTCCCTGTGGCAGGAGGTTGGACGGTTCCTTTCTAGGGACACTGAGGAGTTCAAGAGAAATGACCTAAAGATATTGATAGTTGAGAGTCCCATCAGTCAACACGCCTGACATCGCCCTCCACCCCCAGGTGTCCAATTAGCTTTTCTGAGGCTCACTGTAAAACGTGAACAGATGGCCAAGGATCACCAGATATTTGAAACAGGCCCTCACATGAAAGAGAAACACTGAAATAAACAAATAGACAACAGGAACACAGAGGAAATAGGAACCATGCGTGGAACAAGGAAAACCTAAAAAAAAGAGAAGGAAAAAAGCCTCTATCATAATTAAAATGAACATGCTCAGGTAGCTATAAGAAAATATTGCACCTGTGAAAGAATAGAGTGCTATAAAAGAGGATAGCCAGAGAGTAGGAAAGAAGCCTTGAAAATTAAAAATAAGATGGCAGAAATTAAAATGTTGCAATAGAAGAGCCAAAAGAAAGTTGAGGAAATCTATAAAGTACAACAGAGAGAGAAAGAGACAAAGATAGAAAGATGAGATTAAAATAGAGAAAATATAATGAAATTAGAGGACCAGTTCAGGTGGTCTGACATCTAATTAACAGGAGTTCCAGACAGTAGAACAGAGAAAATAGAGGAAAGTAAATTAATGGAAAATATAATGAAAGATAATTTCCCAGAATGGAAGGATGAAGAACCTGGGTTTCTGAACTGAAAAGGCCTACAAAGTCTCCAGCAAAAATATGAAACAAGACCCACATTAAGTCATGTTGTCATAAACTTTTATATCTCTGTGGATAAAGAAATGATTTTTTACATTTCACAGTTTTTAGAAAGAGGAAAACAGGCTAGGTGTGGTGGCTCATGCCTATAATTCTAGCACTTTGGGAGGCTGAGGTGGGAGGATCTCTTGAGCCCAGGAGTTGGAGACCAGCCTAGGCAACAAAGCAAGATCTCATCTCTACAAAAACAAAAATGAAAATACAAAGAGGAAAACAAACATATAAAAATCAGGAATCAAAAGGTTTTAGACTTCTTAACTAGAAGCCAGAAGACAATGGAGCAATGCCTTAAAAATCCAGAGGAAAAAAATCATTTCCAACTTAGAATTCTACACCGAACTAAACTAACACTAAAGTAGGGGACTCAATAAAGACATTTTCAGATTTGAATAGCCTCAAAAAGTTAACCTTTCATAAACACTTTCTCAGAAAGTTACTGGAGGATTTGTTTTCCATAAAAAAATAATTACCCAAGAAAGCGGGGCACGGTGGCTCTCACCTATAATCCCAGCACTTTTGGAGGCTGAGATGGGCGGATCACCTGAGGTTTGAGACCAGCCTGACCAATGCGGAGAAACCCCATCTCTACTAAAAATACAAAATTAGCCGGGTGTGGTGGTGCATCCCTGTAATCCCAGCTACTGGGGAGGCTGAGGCAGGAGAATCGCTTGAACCCAGGAGGTGGAGGTTGCAGTGAGCCGAGATCGCACCACTGCACTCCGGCCTGAGCAACAAGAGCGAAACTGTCTCCAAAAAAAAAAAAAAAAAAAAAAATTACCCATGAAAAAGAAAGGTATGAATTCCAGGAACTAGGGACTCCAACAGAAGACAGAGGTGAAAGGAATCCCAGGACAGCAGTGAAAGGAAGCCCCAGATGACAGCTATGCTGCAGGCCTGGAGAACAGAGTTAAAGAGTTCGGACTGGAACAGAAGATACAGGCTTCTAAGAAACTTGCCTCAAAAACAAAACAAAAGCAAAACCTGGGGAGACTTCTGATGGGTCTGACCTTATTGAGAGGAGTCTGAGAGCTCTGTCAAGAGAGTTTTAAGGGTAAATTAGTAACAATACACATGTATATTAACATAAATATTAAAAAAATAATTTAACCAAGCTGGACATGGTGGCACCTGTCTGTAGTCCCAGCTACTCAGGAGGCTGAGGCAGGAGGATCACTTGAGCCCAGGAGTTCAAGGCTGCAGTGAGCTATGATCGTGCCTGTGAATAGCCACTGTCCTCCAGCCTGGGCGACCCAGCCAAATCCTGCGTCTTAAAAATTTTTTTTTTTTAATGATTTAACCACAAATTGTAATATAACTCCACTGGGAGGGTGGGAGAGGGGTTGCTTGCATCTGTATGTGTGTGTATGGCAGAGCAGAATCTTATTCTACAGCAGGAAGTCAATGGATTCAATGACTGTCTAAAATGGAAAAGTCAAGAAATGGCTATAAAGCATGTTATGTAGAAAAATGGAGGGAAATGCCAGAAGAAATATCTAAAAGATTTGAAAGTAGTTGCCTTTAGGGAGTAGGATTTGTAAATGGAGCAGGGGACTCCCCCGCCCCCCAGCATTAGCCTTGTGGTATTATGTAACTTAAAATTACACGCATGAGTCTTAGGTTTTTAACAGATCTGAGCCTGCTCTTGTCTCCTGCTGCCCTTCCAGCCCTGCACACACCCGACAGTCATTTCTTTTATGGAGATCAAGGATGTTCCTCCAATTAATCAATCAATTAGTTCAACACACAATTATTCAGCACCAATAATCACCAACCCTTAGAAGCTAGTTTATTCAGGAAAATTGTGCCAGAGCAGAGTCATCTTTCAAGATCATCCAGTTTACTTGTAATGAGTTAAATAGGAGGCCGTTCAGCTCAGACTCTCCTCCACACACAAGTCAGAAGTAGAGGGGCTGAGAGGAGGGACTGAGGTGAGGAGGGGAGGGCGGAGTGAGGGGCAGAAGCAGCTGAGGACAGTGAGAGACTGTGTGTGTGTGAGAAAAGGGGAGAGAAAATTCACTGAGGCCAGGTGCGGTGGCTCATGCCTGCAACCCCAGCACTTTGGGATGTCAAGGCAGGTGAATCACTTGAGGGCAGGAGTTCCAGACCAGCCTGGCCAGTGTGGTGAAACCCCAGCTCTAGTAAAAAATACAAAAATTAGTCAGGCGTGATGGCAGGTGCCTGTAATCCCAGCTACTCGGGAGGCTGAGGCAGGACAATCACTTGAACCCGGGAGGCGAGATTGCAGTGAGCCGATATTGTGCCACTGCACTCCAGCCTGGGCAACGCAGTGAGACTCCATCTCAAAAAAAAGAAAGAAAAGAAAAAGACAAAAGTCACTCCGAGTAGGGGTTCTTCTTCCTCCTGGAGGTGGTGGGGGTACTCCAGGTATCGCAGGGGCCTTTCTCAGTGCACATTAAAAGTTCTAGGTATTCATGAGGGGGGAGAAGGCTTTCTGGCTTCTATCTGACTCAGTCTTCTATAGTCCTGGGCTGGATAAGGACACTCTTGGAAAAACTTCTTTTTCTTTTTTTTTCCGAGACAGAGTTTCACTCTTGTTGTCCGGGCTGGAGTGCAATGGTGTGATCTCGGCTCATGGCAACCTCCACCTCCCGAGTTCAAGCGATTCTCCTGTCTCAGCCTCCTGAGTAGCTGGAATTACAGGTACCCGCCACTACGCCCAGCTAATATTTTGGTATTTTTTAGTAGAGACTGGGGTTTCACCATGTTGGCCAGGCTGGTATTGAACTCCCGACCTCATGTGCTCCACCTGCCTCAGCCTCCCAAAGTGCTGGGATTACAGGCGTGAGCCGCTGTGCCCAGCCAAAAAAAACTTTTTTTTTTTTTTTTTTTTCCCTAAGAGATGGGGTCTCACTCTGTCATCCAGGCTAAAGTTCAGTGTTGCGGTCCCAGCTCACTGTAACCTTGAACCTCTGGGCTCAACTGATCCTCCTGCCTCAGCCTCCTGAGGAGCTGGGACTGCAGGCTCATGCCACCACACCTGGCCAGGTTCCTGTCCTTTTTAGTGCTTCTCAGACACAACCTGAGAAGTGCTCCCTGAGGAGGTCAGTAGAGGAGTCTGGTGCATAGAATGTGTCCTTCTGGCATTCCCTAGGGAAATCAAGCATCATTGAGACTGTTTGGTGAAGTGGGTGAGCACCTCTTTCAGCCCCTGCTCAGGATTCCCAAACTGCAGGCATCCAAGCCCACCGAATCTCTAGTCCTCTTCCCTGGTTTGAGCTCCTGGGGCCTGAGAGAATTTGATATTTTGGAGGTCCTGTTGCCTGGTGTGATGGGAAGACCACTGGGTTC